CGAGAGAGGGAAGGGGGCCAGGCCAAGTCGAGGGTGAGACACAGACAGCAAAAATGGGGGCTTCCCCTGGGCACACCGCCCAGGAAGTGCCGCCCTAGAGACTGTGTACCCTCCTTGCTGTTGTCAACCCTGACTTTACAGCTGGAAGTTCTGCTTTCCGGCCAGTTCAGGGTTTCTCCTTTAAATGTAAATATTATTTTTAAGGAGTCCCCAGCCCAGGAAAATCTTGATATGCTTAACTGCTCTCAGTGGGAATGTGCAACTTTAAAGTGTTTGAAAAGAATCGACTTCTGAGGAATTTGCATGTTCAGAAAGCTTTCACCAGAGGCCTGGTGATGGAGCTTGTGAATGGAGTCTTTCTGTATTCGCTGCTCCGTGTGAACGGTATGGGAGGAGTGAGAGAAAGGATGCAAATTGCGCTCCCCTCCCTGACCGCCCCTTCCCGTGGCTGCGGCTGAGGGGGACGGGCAAGGCACGCTTGCCAAGAGCCAAGGAGGATTCTGGGATGTGTGTGCTGAGTCTCCCCTGCAGGTTTCCAGGGAGCTGGTTTGCATGAGGTAAACATGCATCCTGATTCCCAACACCAAGGGCCACTGTTCCGTGCTCTGCTGCCTCCTCTGGCCTCGAGGATGGGGTCTTGTGGGGAGGGGCAGAGTAGCTGTGGGGGAGGAAGAAACTTCCTCTACTCTTCTAGGTTCTTCTGGCTGGTCTAATATTCAAATAGGCATAAGACAAATTAACAAGAGAAAATGACCAAATTTAATTCCATACATACATATGGGAAGCCCACATACATGAGAATCAGAGACTCTACCGACTTGGGAGGTTCAGAGACCTCCCAAATGAAAAGGAGAATGAGGTTTAAATGGTATTCTGAGCAAGGGATGAGGTCAGGCGCCTGGGGAGTCAGAGGGCAGAACGGTCATTCAAAGGGGGAAGGTCATTCAAAGGACAATAAGAAGAGCAGATGTTCAGTAATTAGAAGTTTGCTTCGCTTTATAAAAAGTGTATAAACGTTATCTCTGGTAATAACTGTTATTATGGACAAGGCCCCAAATTTGAATTCATTAAGGGAGAGGTAAATGTTTCTTGTGAACCCGCAGCATCTGTTAGCCTTCAGCTCAAAAAAATCCACATGCCAAAGTGGCCCCTCTCGGGGAGGTCTGTTCTGAATCCTTTGTAGCCCAATGGGCAGCGTTGGCTGGGGTGAAGCCTGGCCCTTCGTTTTTTTGTGTGGGATTCAGCCCCACACGCAGATGAGCTCCTTTTCCATCTGTTCTCACTTCAGTGGGGACCTGTGGCGGCTACAGCACAATTCTTGCTGCAGGTTCTGTGTGTGTACCTGGGACCGAAGAGCTGGGGGTCCAGGCGTAGAACTTCCGGTTGCCCCTGGGGACCCATTAGCATGCAGCGGCCATTGTTTCAGGCGAGTTCATTCTAAGACCAGCCTATGCACTAGTCCAAGAAGTTACCCTGGATTTTACTTCTGATATTAAGTAACTAAATAAGGTAATAAGTGGATAACCACCTAGCAGAACAAAATGCCTCCACCTGTGGCCTCCTTCCCCTTGAAAAATGTTACACTATACCCCATTTTTCTTTCTTTCTGTCTTTTCTTCCCTTTCTCCCTCTCTCCATCTGTCCCTCTCTTCCTTTTTTCTAATTCAAGCAAAGTATTATTGACTTTCCTCTATCTGCCAGCCACTGTTATTTGAGTTGGCGATATTTGAGTGCACAATACAATCAAGAGAGCCCAGGCTGGTAGAGCTTACAGGCTGGAGGAGGGAGACAGGCGAGAAATACTCCCCATAAGCAGTAAGTGAACTTCACAGCAGGTAGAAGGTACTGAAGGCCGCAGGGGAGGGGAGTGGGTGGGGTGTGCAGGTTAAGCAGGGTGGTCAGGGTGAGCGTCATTAAGAAAAGGACATTTGAGCCAAGAATTGAAGGCCAATGTAGGGGAGAAAAAAATAACTTTTTCTTCCACCCTTCAAAGTTCTCAACTGGGGCTTCTATAATAAAAAACAAATTAATATGAGAAAAAATTATACAAACTTATCTGAAATAAGCTTTTAGGGACATGGGGGCTTTCTTAAAGAAATGAAGACCTGAAGAGGCTCTTAAACCTGAGCATTTCGATGCCAGTTTGATGATGATTGGAAAATGTGATAGGACATAAGGATGCTCCTTTCCTCTGGGTGTCGGGGGTGGGGCACCTCTCACATGAGGGGCATATGACCTGCTTCAGGGGAAGGGCACAGAGTCCCTCCTGCACCTGCTGTGTCTCCAATTCCTTCAGCTTAAGGCAGCCGAGGGTCATGTGGGGAGGTGTGGAGAGCAGGACCAATTACACGGCACTGGTCCCTTCGAGATAGCATAGAGTACACAAAACGGAATGGAGTCACATATGTCAACCAAGATGGCCGTCAGTCAGCCACGATGCTTTGGTTCAAGAAGAAAACTACTTAAGTAATGCTAGACACATCTGGCAAGGAGATATACCTACGATACCTGCACAGGTGACCAGAACAGCTGTATATGCAGAGCGGGACCCATAGATAGGCTCCTGGGGAAGTTCCCCACTTGGCATCAGGGGAACCAAGACACTTATCAAGAGACCCAGAAGCATGGAGCCCACCACTCTCAAGGTATAACCGAGGCAGGCTCCGGACCACTGTGGAGACAGCCGAGCTCCACGACCCAGAGCGCTGCTCCACGCCACGCTGCTCTCCCTTGGCATCGGCCACCGGAGGCTCTGCCCTGCTAGACTGAGGACTTCCCCTGCCCTGTTGCCCACCTGGCTCCGGAGGTCCTTCCTTGAAGGAGGCTGACAACTCCCTTGCCCACCGTGCTGACTCCCGGACCTGAAACTGAGACTCTGGGATTTGGGTTCATCATCCCCCATTGGTTGCTGTGTGTGTGTGTGTGTGTGTGTGTGTGTGTGATATTCCCTCTTAGATTGTTGGAGTGCGAGTACGATATTAATGTATGTTGATGTTCTACTTTGAGAAACGTGCGTTCAATAAAAGCTGAGTGAACAGCATAGTTACCTTGTGTGACTCTTGTCTATTCCTTGGTGCCGGGCTGCTGACAGGCAGCCAGCCGAGCGGTTGCCCGGCTGCCTTACTTGACAGACTATATCGCGAACATCTGCTGGCGGCAGGAGGGTGCCTGGCACTGGCTAGAAACAGCAGGGAGCTCTAGCTGGAGTGGAGGAGGCCGGCAGCACAGGAAATGCAGTTAGAGGGGAACAGGGGCCTGGTACGGACCCAGCTCTTACCCTGAGATGAAGAGACACTGGTGGATTAAAAAAACAAAACAAAACAAAAACAACTTTCTTATGGAAAGTTTCACAAATAGGCTGACAAAGTTTCTCTCTTTGAGCTCACGGCTCCTCTAGACCTTGACTTTAGTCTGTATCCTTGGCCTGTTTAGTCCAATTTCAATGGGAATTCTGTTGGATCAGTTTGGCCAGAATCTACCTTTGGTATCCAACCGCATTCCTCACCCTTCGCCCTGACCTGCTTAGTTAAGTGTCCTGTTAAGTCACTTTAGCCAGAACCCCTGCCGGGGCCACCATGTTTCCTCTTAGTAATTTTCCATCCACGGACCGCACCCGGCTTCTTGGCTATAAATCCCCACTTGTCCTTGTATTCAGAATGGAGTTGGTGCTAATTAACATGCCAGAAAAAGGAGCTAAGTATCTTCAGTCAGAGGAGTGAGACAGACCAGAGGCAGCAGCTGCGGGGCCCTTCCATCCTGACCTGCAGGACAGGACCGAGCATGACCTCACTCCTCCCGGAAGTCAGCATTTTTCTTTGCGAGGCTGGCATCCCAGGAAAGGTTCTGGTCACTCCAGGGGTGCCCTCTCCCAGTCTACCGGCACCTGTTAGGAAAGGAAACCCTGGGATTGGGAGGTGGTGGGTGGGCTCTGGGTTCTTGGCGACTGGCCCGGCCCACCTGCCCCATCACACCTGCACTGTTGCTTCCTGCCTTCCCAAGGGCCGTCCTGCTCGTTCTAGCCTGAGCAGCGTTCAGAGGCGCAATAGGTCACAGGGGCTCTGTGCCCGCCTTTCCTTGAGTTCAGGGCTGCCTGCCCCCCTCTTCACATCCCCTGGCCTTGCCTGCTGTTTTAGGCATTCTGGGCCTCCAACATCCGCCGCTGCATGCCTTTGCCTGCGGTCTTCCTCTCTAGAGCGGCTGAAAGCGCAGGGGAATGAACCACCTCCCTCCCAGCAGCCCGTAACTGCTGACTGGCAGGACGGGCGTGGACACCGTCCCCCTTGGGCGGGATTTTTCTGAGCTGCGCGCTCTGTTCCTTAGAATTGCCCCAGCAAGGTTAAGCTTTGGTGGCCCTCAGTGGCTGCTGAGACTGTCCTTTCTCTTCTGTTTCACATGTCTCTTCCTTATGGTATTTCCTGGGGTCACCTTGAACGAAGACCCTGCCTCAGCTGCTCAGGAACGAGGCTCTGGCTGAGCGCAGCTAAGCCATCAGGACAGAGCGCAGACTGCGAGCTATGCCTCCCGGTCCCTGTGCCCCGCCCCCAGCACAGGTGCAGCATATGAAGCCGTGTCCCGTGTCCCGTGTCCCGGGTCCCATCCCGGAGGCGAGCATCCCTGGCATGGCCTTTCTTCCCCAAGGGGCGGGGCTGGAAGGGAGCCAGCACCTCCCTCCTGTTCCCACCGGCAGGGATTACCACTGGCCGGGAAGTGGAGCTGAGTAGTTATGTGAGATGTTGACTGAAGTTGTATAATTCCCGCTTTCAGAACGGGAAAATCGGAAACAGGGTGTTCCGTGAGTGTGCGAGAGAAAGCTGCCTTCACTCGGGTCTTCACTCGGGTCTTCACTCGGGTCATAGCCGCCAACAGGAGTGGCAGGGTCCCACCCTGGTTTACGGGGGCTCAGAAAGTCACCAAGCCACGCCCACCCCCGTATGGCCCTTATCCAGCCCTTTGCCAAGTCCAACTTTTCTGTGTCTGGGTAAAACACACTAAAGAAACAGAATTCTTTTGTTGTTGTTGTTCTATTTTGGTGACAAGAGAGGTTCCTGCTGGAAACTGGATCTGTAAGAAAAATAAAAGTGGAGCCATTGGCTGACACAGTCCTTCACGACACCAGAATTCTGGGGGCTCTGCAATTTTACCACCTCGTGGATGACAGTTCAGCAGCTAAGGTCGGCCGGTGGAAAAAGAAATTGCTTAGGGTTCAAATGTCTTCCATTTCTGCATCCACTCTTCCTTCCTCCAAACACAGCCACAAGGAGGCCTTGGCTTTCCTTCAGGCTGAATCAGGCTTATGCAAAGCACCGGCAAGCCCCTGGCTCAGTTCCACACCCCTGCCCCATGGTCCACGCCCACCCCCGGCCCCTCCTAGGCTGCGCTGGGGAGTTCAGTGCCTGCAAGGAGAGGAGAAGCAGCCTCTTGCTTTGACTGCCTCATTATTCACTGGTGGGATGCTGAGAAGGGCACCAAGCTTTAGGAAAGAAAGTTCTAGAAATATCTTTTCCCAGAGAGTACACTTTGCCACTGTCACCAGATGGTTTTTCACTGTGTGGACTGAGAAGGACCCCAAGCTGCCTGTCTAAGAGAGTTTAAGAGCTGAGCCTACAGAACCCAGGATGACGCAGTGTGTTCCCACAATGCGCTCCCCACCCCCAGGCGCTGACTCTCTCACCCTCAGGGTGGCTAAACCTGCTCCTCCAGCCTCTAGGCCAACGGGGGGTCGCGCTTTGAGGTTCATCCTGCACCAGCTCGGCTGGGCACACACCCGCCCTTGAAGGCACTCTGGGCTGCTGTAGAGAGCGCTGCTGGCTGCTCCCCCCAGTCCACCCTCACTTACTTCCTGGCCAGGGGCCCCTTTCAATTGGCTGCTCTGCTCCTTTGCCCAGCCTTGTCCTCGACAGAAGCAACCCCAGCCCCAGCCAGGGGAAGAGAGTAAGGATGGATCTAGACAGATCGAATCCAGCCAAGATAATTCGACCCTTATGCTATGAATTTGCTTAAGAAGGGGCATGAGACCCAATTCAGGGACTCCCCCCGCCAACCCAGTGAGAGAGTAAGTATGCCGGGGAAGGGTACTCCTGGGAAGAGTTTCTTGGCTTAAGAAGAGACAAAAGGAGGAGGTGGCTTTTTCCCTGCTTCTGGAGGTCAGGAGATGAGGCTGTGATTCTGGTAGCTTCTCCAGACATCGGCCCTTCTCTCAGCCTGCCCTCTGCTGAAGGCGTGAGAGCAGAAAGCTGAAAAAATCTCTCCCCAGCTCTCTGATGACAGTGTTGACTTGAACCCGCCCTGACACTTCCCAGCTGTCCTACTGGGTGTGAGATAATTTCCCTGTCACCATTTTGAATGAGATTTTCTGGAACTTCTACCAGGTAATCAAACTCATAATCCACTTAGCAAATCAATCTTCTAATGCCTCCCAGCATTTAGAAACCTACCAATGCAGGGGTTCTGGAACCTTCCCCATGCCCTGGGAATACTGAATGCTGAAGGGGGGCGTGGCCTGAGCCTGCCTGGCCCCAGAACCTGAGCTCACACTCGTGGACTCTGCTCTCGGGAGACTCGAACAAAACGCTTTAGCTCTAGTACAGCCTTCAGATCGCCAGCTGCCACCATCCACCCAAGCCCTGTGACCAGGCCCCGCACGGTTGCACAGCCCCTCATTTAATCCTCACAACCGTCACTCTTGGAGGTGCTTCTTCTCCCCCTTCAGGGCTGAGGCTGACTCTCAGTGTCCCCTAACACTGAGCTACCAGGTAGCAGGGTCCTGACAGAACCTACAGCTCGGTCTCCAAAGCCAGTGTCCTTCTAACCACTGCCACGGTGACAACCGCAACTAGACCCTCGAGCTGGCCAGCTCCGCCCTCCAAGCACCTTGCCTCCTGCTCCTGACAGCTCCAGGGCAGGTGTTGTGATATTCCTTATTCACAGATGAGGAAACTGAGGCTCCCACCTGCTGTGTTTTGTGAGGCTTAAGGAGCTCCTATTTGGATGCGGCAGGGGAAAATGGTGGTGGGTAAATGGAGACAAAGGTATTTGAACAAAAAAAAAAAAAAAAAAAAAAGAAGAAGAGCTCCTGTTCTTTCTGACACACTTGTCCCTTGATCAGGCCACAGAGCCCTGGAGCAGGTGCTGACCTCCCACTGGAGCTTATTTTCTGGGTTGGGCTTTCGAGGCCCTTTGAGCATCTGTTCTCACCGTGTGCCCTACTGCGGCTGCTCCCTGTCCACGTCTGTGGCTGGTGGAGGCCTGGGGGTGGCTGAAAGGCCGCCATTATCCCTGCACCATCTCTGTCGTCACTTATGAGGCACTCACTGTGGGAGGACTTGACAATGGGGACAATTGTAGCTGCTCTTGGTGCCTGCCCAGATCCCCTTCTGGGCTGGAGCGTTCTTTGTCCAGCTCCCGGGAGGTGTGCACGTTGGCTGCTAAGGACTCAGAGCTGCCCCTTTCCCCAGAGACTTGTCCTCAGCCAAATGGGAGCGCTTTTCCGCAAAGACAGGCACCCCCTCCCCCCACTCCCATTGCCAATGCTGAATGACAGACTTGCACAAAAAAGCCAACCATCTTGCTTCAAGGTGAGACCATTCTATGGTGTGATTCACGCTCCAGAGCCTGCGTGGGATCAGGCTGAGGCTGGACATCAGCTGACCTTGTCCTTGCTCTGCTCCTTCCCTTGACCTCTCTTCCCTCCCTCAGATCCTTTTTCCTCAATAAACCCAGAGCACTCGGGTCCCTGTATCAGGCTCTGCTTCTAGGGAGCCCGGCCCGACACAGGGGAGGTTTGAAGACGCTGGGTGAGGCCTGCTCCTGGCCCTTGCGCTCTGGTTGTGGAGAAAAGCAACACACACACAAAATAGTCCCCCACAACACAGGATGGACTAGGCTGGAGAAAACTGAGATTCACCAGATGGGAGGACTCACTGGAGGTGTAGTGGGGGAGGAGGGCTTCATGGACGAAAGAAGATGAGGCCATGAAGGACACGCAGGCCTTGCAATGTTGGGAGAGGGCAGAAGCTTTCTAGGCAGGAAGAAAGTTCCAAGGAAACACCTTAAGATGGGTAGGAGCTCAGCCCTCACTTTTTCCACTTCCTCCCGTCTGGTGCCTGTGACTAGGGGAACCATCCCAGGCCAGTGGGGGTTTGGGGAACTCTGTTTTGACAATCCTAGTCATGGATCTAGCATTGTCCAAGAGTGAGCAGGGCTGCTTGAGGGAGACATGCCAGACCACCGAGTCCCAGAAGGACTCACTCTGTTCTCGAACTGCCCACGGGAGTCTGGGAGGCGTGGTCCACCGCAGAGACCTCCCCGCACAGAGAGGCAACGACCCCCCCAACAACCCCGCACGTAGGGCTGGCAAGTGACGGGGCCTGGGGATGTCTTCTGCCCAAAAGGCCGTGGGCATGAAGGGGGCCCCATACCTGCTGGACTGTGCCTGGGGGGTCGTTCACAAGGACTCAATGATGTGGTAGGCAGCTCCCAGGGCCCCCAGAGCCACGGCTGCAGTCCCGAGAGTTCGGAGCACGCGAATCACGAGGGCTGGAGTGTTTTCTTGTAGGTTTTCTGCAAAGCAAAGCAGAAAGCCCGCAGGTTGAGGGAAGCTGGGCTTCAGTGCCTGTCGACGGGAAAGGGAAAACTGGGGGGAAAACTGCAGGAATACCCATCCCCCCCAAGGGAACACAGCTCCCCCGACCCCTTCCCACATAGCCCAGGGTCTGAGGACTGGCTGGTCTGGGGCGTCCGCTCCCCTGGACATTCAGGGAGCCAGGTTACGGAGGTGGTCAAGGCTGCTGTGCACCAGGCTCTGGCTAAACACCTCCCACCCCATGTCTCCTCAAGCCTCACAACAGCCCTGGGAAGGGGGCGCTGCCGTGGAGCTCCATTTGGCATGAAGAACCGACAGAACACCCACCACACCCACCACAAAGACAAGGAAAATATATGCGTATGATCATGGTTGTGAGGAAGGCTTTCACAACTGCAATATCCATTTTGATAACCATCGCCTTATAGCAGCGGTTCTTATTGGATGTGAGTGTTTTTGAAGCCAAGGGCCAACATTCCACTCTCCTGGGAAATGGAGAGACTATGGAAGCAGGTGCTGCATTTGAACAGAGTCTGTCTTGCTCCAGCTGGACCGGATCCCTGCCCCTTCCCCCACACTTTCCTACTTCTGAGCCTGGCTTTTGCCTGTTCCCCCATCGAGAATGCTCCCCCTTTAAAATAAGCCCTAGAGGGCACAAAGGTCCTTTGAGACGTGGTTGACACGACACAGTGCCCCTGGGCCCCGTTCAGGATGAGCCCTCCCTTCTCCTGGAGCTCTTCGACCACTCCTGCAGGACATGGATCGTCTGGCTCGCACCTTAGTTTCTAAATGGACACGTCTTAGCCTGCTGTGCAGTCTGTACAATTTTTAAGCGTGAAGTTCCCTGTTCTGGTTTCTCTCCTAGTACCTAGCATCCTGTGCAGATTACGCTTTCCTACCTGTTGGGTTTAAAGGGACATGACTCTATGGCACCACTTGGCACCAGATGGACAGAACTGTGAAGTGTGTAGGAGGACAGTTAATAATGGCGAGTGGCCGGCAGGTCCTTCCTGACCCACCTCCCAGGTTGCAGACTATTGTTAGGTCTAGGCATGTTCTCCCAACACACCTGGGTATTTGTCTCTCTTCATAGGCCTAAGAGGTGGTGCTTTGCGAGCAGGGGCAGGAGAGGGGGCTTGGTGGGGGGGGGGCTGGGAAGGAGAGCAGGAGGAAGGTGGGGGATGAGTGGGCTCCGCTACTGGGAGGGGTATGAGTTTCCCGAGGGGAAGGCCTCTCCCACGAACATTGGTGAGGCCCTGGGTACAGGCGGAGCTGCTTTGGGCCCAGAGCTGGGGGCAGGCGGAGGCCCCTCTCCAGCCCCAGCACACAGCCTGGCGCCACTGGAGAAGGTTCCACCTTGTGGTTTCTAGGAAGATGGAGAGAAGGCAGATACCTTGGATGATGCTGAGGGTGGGAGGCTGCCCCGCCATGGACAGACCAGCCTGGGGACATTGTTTCCTGTGGGGGCTGCTAGAAGTACCGGGGACCCTCTGTACAGGGTGGAGGTCTTGCCATTACCGTCAGGGCATGTGAGTTACAGTCAGTATTTGTGACTCAATTCCAGGGGTAATTCATAGGCAGGCCAAGCACCTAAAGCACGGAAGTAGGGTGACGGACAAACAGCATTTAATTCCGAACCTTCTGAGAGACATGGCATTTACCAAGGGCCGTGAGGGGGTGTGCCTGAGAAAGGAGGGGGAGAAGAAAAATGAACCCCCCCGAAGAAGCAGTCCCTGGTAAGGAAGAAAATCGGCACCTGTCCGTGCAGGTGGGGTACCCTGGGAGGGGCGGGCCTGCTCAGAAAGGGCCGGTGCCACACCCTAGGCTGTGGCCACCCGGAGGGAGGGGCTCTCCTTTTGGCCTAGGGATCCTGAGAGGGAGGTACTCGCGACTGCAATATCGGTGCCCAGGGCAGAGCCCGGCCCCGGGAACCATCCGCCCCGAGGGCCCAGCCCTCCACACGCTCCAGAACCTGTAGAAGGTGAGGAGGTTTGGGATTCCTCTCCCTGGCGTGGTCAGCCAGGCCCGAGGCAGAAGGACATCGAAGATGCGGCTGTGGCACAGGCCCAGGCGACGCCAGCAGGCAGAGCTGCCAGGGCAAGTGGTGCAGGAACAGAAGGGGCGCGGGACTGCCTGCGTCGGAGGCCCTGGTGGACGGAAAGGAGAGAGATGAGGGGCCCCGCTGCCTCCAGGGGCGGGGGAGAGCCTGGGAGACACCAGGGAGAAACGAACTGTATGGGAAACTGGTCCTTTTGGAGGCTGCCGCTCCCTGGGAATGATCAAACCGCGATGCCCCGCACGCCCGTGGGGCTCCATACTGCCCGTCATTACGCATCTCACTCAGCGGTCAGAACAATCCTGCGCAGGGGAATATGGTCACTCTCAGTTTACAAATGAGGAAACGGAGGCTCAAAGAATATTCGGAGGTGCCCTTGGAACGTGTAATGGAAGAAGGGGGCCTCCGTTCAGGGTTTCTAACTCTCAATTCAGTGCTCTCCTCAGGGGACGTGCAGGAAATGGTGGCAGCCGATGGCCGCCCACCCCCAAGCGGTGGCACTGGGATTCCTGTCCCTGGAGCTGCCACGCTCCCTTTTTCGGGGGTTCACTGGTTTGTCCAGAAGACACCCGCTGCTCCAGTTTACACTCCTTAAGATACTTTCCCAGATGTAGCTCCACTTGTCCTCCTGTGCAGTGGGTCCCAGCAGGGCTGAGAGATGGCACATAATCCCCTCCCCTTGCAGCTAACTGCCACTGAGGCTCCCTGAAGCCCGCGAACAGCCTTGGCGGACTCAGCGCACCTCCAGCTTAGGCCTGCCCATGACAGAGGCTCCTCCTAGACTGGGGAAGGAAGAGATTCTAAAGGCAAGACTTTTTCTTTGTTCTGTTTTTAGTTAATTTTTTTTTTGAAATGGCTATATTATTCCCATGTTCAGTGGTTTTTTTTAGTATACTCACAATGGTGTGCAACCATCGTCACTATCTAATTCCAGAATATTTTCATTTTCCACCAAAGCAACTCCGTACCCATTAGCAGTCACTGCCTGTTCCCCACTCTTCCCAGTTCCTGGCAATGGACTTGCCTGTCCTGAATATTTCAGAAATAAAATTACACAATATGTGGGCTTTTGGGGGGCTGGCTTCTTTCCCTTAGCTTAATGTCTCTGAGGTCTGTCCATGTGGTAGCATGTGTCAGCATCTCATCTCTCTTTGTTGCCAAATAACATTTCATTGTACAGCTGTCCCAGCTGTTGTTGATCCGTTCATCAGTTGAGGGACATTGAGTTGCCTTCACTTTTTGGCTTTTGTGAATTATGCTGCTGTGAACCTTCATGTACAAGTTTTTGTGTAGATGGATGTTGTTAATTTTCTTGGATATATACCCAAAAGTAGAATTGCTGGGTTCCGTGGTAGGTTCATGGTTCGCCCTTTGAGGAGCTGGCAGACTTTTCCACAGCAGCGGCACCTTTTTACACTCCCTCTAGCAGCGTGTGAAGCTTCTGATTTCCCCACAACCTCACCAACCCTTGCCGTTGTCCATCTTTTGATGAAAGATTATAGTCATTCCAGTAGGAGACGTGTGTTTTCTTGAGAATGTTATGAATGTTGAGAATGTTAGAATGTTTTTTGCGTACACAAGATTTGGACTTTAGAAAATGGCACCCTTTACTTAAAGGCCCCCATCCCTTACCTCCAACATTCCCTCCATTCTGGCTCAAAGGGAGGATGTTCTTTTGACCGAAGAGTAGGTGTCCATTGTAACCACCAAAGAGCCATCACTAGTTCCTGCTTTGCCTCCTCAACAAGCAGAACTCCTCCCTGGGAATGAGTTACGTGCATTCATTCAAAGACTTGGGAACGTAAAGTTTTGCATCCCAGAGATATCAGTTCTAAAGGTCCCAATCAAGAAACGTTTAACTCAGTGGTTAATGATCAGAACATCTGCAATTTAGAGTGTAAGACTCAAAACCATTTCCAGATGTTAAGAAGGGGTTGATTCCTAGCCACAGAAATACCGTGTCAGGATGACACCTTGGATACACTCACACCTCTTGTTTATTTTATTGTCCACACCATCCCAGGGGGCATGCTACGGCCTGGGGAGCCTGGCTGCTCGGGACCACGGAGCCACGGGCACTGGCTCACAGCAGGTCCTGGAGAGGCTCAGAGAAGGGCGTTCCTCCTCCAGGGGAGACCACCAGCCCTCTCGGGGTCAGACGGTGAGGGCTGGGGTGAAGAGTGGGGATTCTGGAGTCAGAATAGACCAAGGTTCCCCTCAGTGCTGCCAGTGCCTGCTTGAGAGCAAGTGGCTTGCCTGATTTGTTTGGGCCTCAGTTTCCTCATCTATAATATGGAGATGATAATACTAGAATGTCCTTTATAAGACTTAAGTGAGAAAATGAACATAGACGGCTGAGCTGAATGCTGGATACACAGTAAATGCCTGGTGCAGGGGTTAGTTAAACTATTACCATCATTAGTAGTAGCAGTGATGTTCACCAGCCCACCTCCTGGACGCCCCTTGCACCCCCTCTCCACACTCCGATGCCCGTTCAGACTCTGGCTACCCAGGAAGATGGGGGCCCACTTTTTCTGCACGGCCATTCCACTGTCAGAACTAATTGTTGGAGGCTTTTTAATGTTGAGCGGAGAAACCGGCCTCTGTCTTCCACAGGTGATGTTGCCAGATTTAGCGTCTAAAAACACAGTGCGCCCATGCAATATTTGGGACACACACTAAAAAAAATTTTTTTATTCATGTGTTGTTTGTCTGAAATTCAAATTTAACTGGGTGTCCTGTATTTTCCTGGCAGCCCTATCCACAGGCCCTTAGCCAGGCAACTGAGGACAACATGGAAAAACGTCTCCTCACATCTTCCCCCTTACAGACAGAGTTCCTTTAACTCCTTCCACCAAACCTCACACACCAAGTGGCTCTTGCCTTCCCCTACGTCTCTCATCCCCAACAACCTGGACTTTCTTCTCTGGATTCGATCATCTGTCTCTTTTCTGGCATATGAGGGTAGCCTGATGACTACGGAAGAAAGCAGTACGGCCACCTCCCTCATCCTGAACCATACACTTGCATCAATGCGTCCTTGGTGTTTATTTTTGAGCGGTCTCGTGGCACCTCATTCCTAATGAGAGTGCATTACCACTGAACCACGTTAAAGGTTAATATGTATGCGTGGCTGCCTCCTTCAGTTGAGTCTCAGCACGGTGAGGCATGAGAACACCCGGGAATCCTGGTCTCTTGGGTAAAAATGAAACCCAAAAACCCCTCCCAATCCACAAGCACAGTTCCAGAATACACATTAACCAGGCACCACTACCCAATAAGAACCGGCTACCAGGGTAATAACCCCGGGACTCCAGCGGCAGAAAGTCTAGAGCTGTTGAGGTGGAAATCTGCCCACCTGTTTTCCTGGATCCAGGGGACGCCTTTGGGCCAGTGTTCTGAGACAGCAGGTCCCGAGCAGACCGGCTGATTTCGGGAACTGGGAGGGCCTGGGGCACGGGCGGCTGCGGGGTGGCGCCCGGGCTGGGCGGCTGCGCGGCGGACCCCGAGCTGGACTGCTGCTGCAGCGTGGAGTTGGAGCTCTGCTGCTGCTGCGGGGTGCCGTCCGAGCTACTGTGCTGTGAGGTGGAGCCACGGCGTCTGGACTCTGCCTTCTTCTTTTTGCCCTTCTTCATGGTGGGTCCTCCCGACCTCAACGTGGACCTACATGGAGCTGCCTGATCTCCCGGCTCCCTCGTGGAGGGGCCGTTTGCCCCTGCCCTGGGGGAACACTCTGGCCGTCGGCTGGGCCCGGGCACCACAAAGAAAGGCCACCCACACCCTTCCTGTGAGGTCACAAAAGCCAGGGTGGCTCCTATGGCAGTGCCCTGGGGATAGTCTCCTCTGCTGCCACCAGCCTGCTGTCCTCCCTCTTCCCTAGCTACTGGGATGGGCAGAGGGCAGCTGCCAGCATCCTCGTGGGCTTGGGTTAAGCCTGGCCGTGGGACCTGCGACACCCTCAAGCCTCGTGATTCTGCCACCGGAGGGCCTCCTTCCGGCTCCTCTCTGCCGGCGTGTTCCCAGGTCCCTGTGTGCCATCCACTCTAAGACACACTGGCCACGGTGCTCAGCTCTGTCCCTGGTTTCCACATAACAAAAAACCCAAAACCAAAAGCCAAAGCCCCAAAACAACTTCCCCATGCATCCTGTGTTTCAGGTAACTTTACTGAAGATTTGGGGGTCCATGGAAAGCCCACGGCCTCCTACCTTTTCCGCTGTCCCCCTCAGATTACTTTACATAAAATAGCTTCCCTGTTCTTTCAAAACCTTCCCTCTTCCCTTGTGGGAAGGGGCCAGCGGGGTCTCCAACTTTGATAAGAACCCTTACACTTGGCAAGAGAATTTCTCCTAAACCCGTAACAGCTGTTTGGAAAACCACATTTTTCTCACACTCATTGCGCCAGCCACAAGACTACTTTTCAAACCCCAAACTTGTCAAGTCAATTAGGAGACTATGGATTTTTCTCGAAGTTAACAGTGTGATTTTCTTTTTAGGCTGGGAGAGAAAAAAAAGCACTTTTAAAAGACAACCTTAAGCTTCCCATTTGACTCCAACATAAAATGTGTTCACATTAGGGGACTCCACTTTTGCCACAGACGCATCAAAAGGTGGGTGAGTATTCCACTTTTAACCCCTGGCATCTGGGGGGTCCCACTCCCGCCCCAGGATAAGGTTGGGTAGGCCCAGCGAGGAGCAATCCCCACGCAAGGCCAGGCCCGATGTGAACTGTAAAGTGACAGGCAATGTTTAGTGACTCCAGAGCCTGAGAAGACCTTGTGATTCTCTTTCTGCAGAGGAGAAACTGAGGTTCAAGGTTAAATGTCTTTTCCAAAGTGCTAAACTTGGCAGTAGCAGGGTGGGGCGGCATGGAAGGGGCTAAGTTCCTGTTCAGGGCTCTGTTTTGGACTCCAGAAGGCAACAGGGAGTTAGATCATTATATAGGCCTTAAAATCAATGAGTTAAAAAAAAACCTCTTGAGTAAGAGAATTAAAGGAAAAGAAGGCACGAAGGATGAGAAGTGAAAGGAAGCTCAGCTCCACAAAGTTGGGTTGAATTTGGTTGAGCCTGGGTGTGAGGAGGTTCAGGAAACAGATGAGGCTCCACGAAGGTGGCAATTCCCTGAAGTCAAGAGCCATGGGTCCCTCAGGGGACTCACTTAAGAATCAGAGAGACCAGAACCTGGTCAGGACCTCTGTCCAGATTTGGCAGGCAGGTCCCACCTCCTAAGGTGTTTATCTCGGCAGAGCTCGATTTTAAGGCCCCAACGGGCTTTTGACTGAGGGCTGCAACCTGGTTCATATCAAGGTTTCTCAGCCTTAGCCCCAGTGATGTCGGGGTCAGATCATCCTTTGCTGTGGGGCTGTGCTGTGCATCGCAGGAAGATTAGCAGCGTCCCTGGCCTCTGCCCTCAAGATGCCAGTAGCAACTACTGCTCCTTCCAAGTTGTGACACCAACAATATCTTCAGGCAGTGGTAAATGTCAGTGTGTGTGCGTGTGTATATGTGTGTGAGAGAGAGAGATGCCCTGGTTGACAACCACTCTTTACATGAATTAAATAAGTGCAGACACACATGGGTAGATGTCCTGGTATGAATGAAAGGAGTGTTCAATATTCCACTTCGCACCAAGGAAGGGCCCAGAAAGCAGGTCCCTGTCCCCAACGAGAGCAATGGAAGAAACACCGAGGGCCGGGCTTTGGGAGGAGTGGGAGTTTTTCTATGGCAAGTGAAGAAAACATGTGTAGGTTCTTTGGTCAGGATGGTCCCAAGATGTGTGGTGACGGGGTGGGGGGGCACTTGTGGGGTAACAGGGAGGGCCAGGATGGGGAAGAGTGGCACAGTCACAGAGTCACAGTTCTTCTCAAGAACATCTTCCACGCCCTCCGCCTTCCGGCTGGAGCACAGTTTCCCGGCCTGAAGTCCGACTCCCCTGTCGAAGTCACGGCCCACAGTCCCAGGTGGATTCTTCCCGAGTCGGGCTCTAGCCCGCCAGGAGCACCAGAGGTCTGGTGAGCACGCCTCGCTTGCCAGCACGTGCGGAAGCCCACCCCCTGCATCCAGCCCCTCTCCCTCTCTGTCATCCAGATCCATCTCCAGGGCACTCATCACCTCAGGAAGCCTTTCTCAAGATCTCCAACGGGAAGCCATGTCTCCCTCGTGGAGCCCAGATCACATTCTGCACGGTATTACAAGGGCTTCTACCCTTGTCTTCTCTTACGGTCCCCACTCCCAGAGTATGGAAGCCGGGAAGGCCCAAAAGTCTGGAGAAAGGGCTCCGTGTAAGCTGCTTGAAGGAGAGGGTAGGAAGCAGGCAAAGGAAGTGTTGATGAACAGGGTGGGTGTGGGTGATGGGGGACAAGGTATCCTGGAGACCGCATCACTAAGGGGCTGTTTTGAGAGGTGGTCTGAGGTTTTCTGGCCTTGGCTGAGGATTGTGGTTGGAACAGCCCATAATCGAGTGCTCTCCTAACCGGGCACGGCAACCATGGAAAAATCTTGTGGCGCATTCAGGAGCGTGAGAAGAATGAGGGTAAGGGGAGGCAAAGTTAGGTCGTCAGCGTAAAGCCCTCACCAGACTGTCCCTCGTGGCTCTGACCCTCTGGGTGCATCTTAGGCACACAGAACAAGTGTGTCAACATTTGTCCTGAAAGCTCGCATCTTAGGACTGGCTGTTACTTCAGATACCAACTGGCCTTTGGCCCCCACATGTCAGGAGGGCAACTAGTCCATAGAAGGCACAACTTGCTCTGGGGACTAGCAGAAGAGTGGCAGAGCCTCTAGTGACCTGGCCTTGGACTACCCTGCACAGAGCTCTTCCCCCATCCCCACCGCTGCCCCAGAGGGGCTTCTGGAGACGGAGAGCACATGGTGTCCCTGCAAGAGCCCACTACCCTGGACCCTCAGACCCCCGGACTAGCCGTCTGGGGCCACAGTCCCGGGTTCGCCGCAAGGGCTGTGAATAAGACTTGGGCAGTCGGCCGGCTGCTCTAAAACAGGACCTACCTTCCTGAGAGGGCTGTTGTGAGGATGGGACGTGGAAAACCCTGAGGACAGAGCCTGGCGCACAGTGGGCATGCTGTGATTGGAATTAGGTTCCCTTGGAGGAGGAGAAGGAAGAGCCAAGCAAGGAACAAGCGGCCGTGGGGAGGGGGGTGGCTCTGAGGCCCGCGAACTCCCAAGTCTGTGCCTTACAAGGGCTGGTTCCCAGAGGCGAGCAGGGAGCAAAGCAGCCGCCGATGGGTGGGAAGCGTAACTGCAAATTAAGTGAATTCGAATGCTCTTGACCCCAAATGGCTCAGTGAGGACCCCATGGGGACAGAAATCTAGGTCACGTTTACCCAAACGGTGTAAGTGGAAGCACTAGGAGAGGGACATCAGGGACTAGCAGGAGGGACGGGGCACAGGCGTCCCTCCGTATTTGAAGTTTCCCCCCCCGGAGGCCGCTGCCGCAGCCTGACGCTCCCGCCCCTCGCCTTCAGGCCCCTCACCATCCGTCTGAGTCTGTCGATCCACCAGAGAGACGCAGCCCCGCGCCGGGGCCTTGTGCGCTCCGTTGGCGGCGCGCTGGACGTCCAGGGTACCCTCGGGGCGGCAGGGGCTGAAGACGGCCGTGTGCACCTCCACGGCGGGGTTGTGCGGCGCGAAGGCGCTGCACAGCAGGGTCTGCATGAGGCGGCGCGCCTCCGACTCCTCCTCGCGCCGCGGCTGCACCACGATCCCGACCAGCGCGGCGGGCGGGCGGCGGTGCCGGGCGCTCACCTGCTGCAGGAGCAGCTGCAGCCGCGGCAGCTGCGAGCGCAGCGCGGGCACGCGGCACAGCACCAGGAGTAGCCGCGCGCCGGGCTCGGGGGGCTCCGGCGGCTGCGGCGGGTCCCGGCCGGCAGACGCCGGGTCCTCCGCGGCCCCAGAGCCGGGGGCCCCGGCCGGAGCCCGAGCTGTGTCTGGCTCACACTCGCGCGGATCCTCGTCCCTCAGCCTGTCGTCCGGCAGCTTCTGGGTGGAGCGTCTGGACTTGGCGGCCGGGCAGCCGCCGCTGTTCGAAGCCCTGTCGCCCGAGCGCTTGCGGCGCCTCCTGGAGGAGTTGCTGGAGCTGCTGTGACCGCTTGTGGCCCGGACGGACGAGGGACCGGCGGGACTATTGGTTGGGGCCTGCTCCAGAGTGTCCTGCAGGGTCAAGCACGGCTCCTCCTGCGGCCAGAGCTCGCCTAGCAGCAGCACCTGGCCGCGGCCCTCGATGGTCTGGGCTGGAGCCTGTTGCTGCGGCTCGGCCTTACCGCCCTGCGGAGCCCGCTGTGCCCAAGGCTCCATGTCGGTCCCGCTCCCTTGCACCTCTGCGCCCGGGCCTTCCTTGGTCAAGGGAAGAGCTGCCCTTCCCTGGAGCATGTCACAATACCCCCCCTGCGCCCTACCTCTTCCTGTCGCCACGAAGGGTCTCTGCCCTCTATTTCTTGGAAATTTTCCAACATAGGGAACTCGCTTTTGGGTGCCTGTGCAATGCCGGGTGTGGTTAGTGTCCTTATCACTGTGTGTGTACTCGGTGTGGAGGGGACAAATCCTTTCGGAACTCTTATGCGCACGTCTCCAAGTAAGGCAGATTTTTTGTGAGGCCAGGACATTTAAGAAGCAGTGGGCCTG